AAGATGGAAGATTTCTACTTTTATAAATATATAAGTACATATCCTGTTCTAATTTATCTGCTTAGCTCGAGGTAAGTATGATTTTAAACTTAAAAATGTGACTCTGAATTTGCCCATTGATAGCAAGACATCAGAGAAATCTAGCTGCTAACTGAAATGATTGGTTGAGGAACCTGAAGAAACTAGATGCTAGTTTTGGGACCTGTTGCCAGCCTTTTTGCGCCTATGATGCTGCTTGGCCTGCTGTGTTCATCCAGCTCTGCACCTCGTTGTCTCGGATTCTCCAGCATCTGCAGTTCCTACTATCTCGGACAATTGGTACTGTTCCCTGGTGCAGCTTGAAGATAAAAGCGCGCTGAAACTTAAAGAATTCTTACGTTTCCCCTTCCCCAGGATAATGTTCAGAGGTCATGGCCTCAGCTGCAGCAGTCAATAGTTCCCATTGTCAGTGGCTCCTGTTTCCCAACCTGCATTCTGGAGCAAGACCCAGGACAGGAAATTCCAGTGCTCCTGGGCCTGGACAAACATGGTGCATTTCAGGTCTGCTGGTCTGCACCACCCCTCCCCTCCCCACCCCCAAAACGTTCCTCCAGTGTCTGCGTGGGAGGGGGCCAAGTATTCTTTCTACAAGCTTTAGTCAGGAAGGATTTGCAATCCTTTTATTGCATTTGCTCTTTTTTTTCACTTTTCAAGTCATAGGTTAAAAAAAATCCATTCCATGCCTCTTCTTAGTGTTTGTTTGATTTTGTTTGAAAAGGTAACCAATTTATTGAAAGAAACATTCAGATGTTGAAGCCACGTGTTGTTTTTCATTCTTAGTGATGTTTGGGTGTCGCATCCAAGACTGAGGTGGAAATTGTTCTCAATCTCTGACTCATCGGTAGCGCTGCTGATAATCCATTGTATCATGGCAGTGCTCTGTAGTTTAATAATGCAAGATAAAAGTCGTTGTACCATTTCAGTAATGCCTCAATTGTACAAACTCTGTGCCCAGCTTCTCCATTTGTTTCAGGGTAGTGGGGTGAACTTGTGGCATGGACAGAATCACATTTGCAAACTGCGCACCATTGTCTGAGGCTACAATATCTGAAATACAGTCAGATAAGAAGACTTTTCTGTGATGTTCTGCTATGATCTTGTGTAGATCTGACCATAACGGAGATCACACCACTGAATTTGAAGACGTTCATTCCTAAGCATTTCAAATGTGATGGTAAAGTTGATGGTCATCATGTCTGTTCCTTCTCTTGGCTATTCATCAGATAATAAACGTAATTGCCAATCATTTCTGGAATGCTTATGAGATCCCTGACTACCTTATTGATTGTTGAGCCTTGGCGTGACACTTCCTAATGCTCAAAATGAAGCCTGTGAAGAATTTTGAGTGTAAGAGTCTGTGGTATTGCTAATCTCTGTTTGAAGACTGGTAACTCACTGATAACAGTAAGGTATCAACACACCTCTAAGTACTACCATTATTTGGTGCACAGTCTGCCTTCCAATCAGTATTTCCTTATCTGGATACAGTCTTCAAATACTTTCCATTTTACACCTGTATTAGAATTTTGCTGCCTTTTCCACTGCCACCATATTCTATTATATGCAGGAGCCTAATTAGCTTTAGTTCCTATGAAATGCTTCTTGAGTCTAAATTTCCTTAAAACTCATTTGTTTACAGTGTGGTAAAAACAGGCACTCTGTCAGTTTCCAGTCCATCTTCCAGATCAATGCGTCACTGACATTACCGTGAAATCATTGAATATCATCATTGTACATGTTGTAGATGTCACCTTACTGTATTCACCTATTGTCATTTATTTTCCCTGTAGTTAAAAGAGATTTTCCACCTGTCAAAAAGACCTTGTGTTCTTTAAAAATAAATCTGCACTAACAGAAAAGCAGGAGCTAATTTCAATCAAGCATTAGCTCAACATTAGTGTATCCCATGCCATAATGCATCTCGTGTGTAATTTAGGTCACAATACTGCCCAGTTTCTTGTGAATGTACATTTACTGTAAATAGATTGGTAGGTAATTGGCTCATTGAAAAATCTTCAGGATGGAAGATACAAAATTGTGATGACAATACAATAAAATAAAACAGGTAATCTTTTTTTGTATGAGGGATACAGGTGGCTCTGCCAGCATTTATTAACCACCTTTAATTGCCCTTGAGAAGGTAATGGTGAGCCGCCCTGTTGAACTGAACAGTCCATGTGGTGTAGATATACCCACAGCGCTATTAAGAAGGGAGTTCTGGGATTTTGACTCAGCAACACTGAAGGGTCAGTGATATGTTTTCAAGTCAGGATGATGAGTGGCTTGGAGAGGAACTTGCAGGTGCTGGTGTTCCCATATATCTGCAGCCCCTGTTCCTCTTTGGTGGTTTGGGAAGTGCTGTCAGAGCAACCTTCGTGAGTTGTTTCAGTGTGTTTTGTAGATGGTGTTATGTCACCATGAGTTTGTTGTGAAGGGATTGAATGTTGAAGGTGATGGATGTGGTAAAAATCAAACAGGCTACTTTGTCCTAGATAGTGCTGAACTTGTTGACTGTTTTTGGAGCTGCACTCATCCAAGCCAGTCAAGGATATTCCACCACACTGCTGACTTCTGCTTTGTGGTTGGTGGACTGGCTTTGCGGGAGCCAGGAGCTGATTTAAGGAGTTGGTTAGCTCTGTTGGATGGAAGACTGGTTTGTAAAATAGATCGTTGCCAATAGTGTGGGTTCAGTTCCCAAACTGGCTGAGATTATCATGAAGATCCTACCTTCTCAACCTTGTGTGAGGTGTGGTGGTCGTCAGATTAAACTCACCCTCTCTCTCTAATGGGAGAGCACTTGGAACTTTGGCCAGTACTATTTGATACAGAGAACCAACCTCTGACCTGCTGTTTTAATCTATGGATTTATGTAAGAGGTCCACTTCAGTTGCAGAGTTTCATAATCCATAACTGAGTTATAGGCAATCAGTGAAATAAAAATAAATAAAGAATAGAAAATGGCACAATTCTCAACTCTTCAATATACAAGTAATCACAACGTGTGGCAAAACACGGATCTGTTTAATTTTCAGAACAAAACTACTGTGCTGTGCATTTCTCATTAAAGTCCAGAGATCATGTGTTGTCAGTCTGAGTTCCTTAAATTCTCAATCATTCACATACTGCTGAAGAGTTTTATAAAGTGGGAGATTGAGTTATCTTGTCTGTTCATTCTTTAAGTTATTTATGGATTGTGTCTCTTCTCAATTCCATCACACGTTCACTTTGTGGCTACTTTTTATTTTAAAAAATGGTAAAATATCTTTAGCCATTGCGGATTCAACTAACAAATGCTAATGCTGCACATTCTGCAAATAATGCATCTTTTCAAATATTATTGAATTTTAAAAAAAATTACAAGGCAATCAGATGCAGATTACAGGCCAGTTAGTCTTATGTCAGTGGTGGGCAAATTATTGGAAAGGGCTCTGAGAGATAGGATTTATGATCATTTGGAAAGGCACAGTTTGATTCATGATAGTCAGCATGGATTTGGGAGGGGTAGAACATTGCACCTCGGATTGGACCACCAACCTGCAAGAGGGATGATGAAGTGATCTGCACATCTTACTATTCCAGACTTGTCCCGCTAGAGCACGGAGAGTTAAATTCGTCTTCAGGATGTATCTGTCATTTTCTATTAAAAATCTCCCAATTCTACTGCATAGAATAATTTGAATGAGAAAGAAAATCAAGCTCACAAATCTTATTGAATTCTTTGAAGAGGTGACCAAACACGTGGCTGAAGGTAGAGCAGTGGATGTGGTATACATGGATTTAAGTAAGGCGTTTGATAAGATTCCCCATGGTAGGCTGATGCAGAAGGTAAGGAGTCATGGGATAGGGGGAAATGTGGCAGATTGGATTCAGAGTTGGCTGACCCTTAGACAAAGCGTGGTAGTGGACGGACAATATTCAACATGGTGCTCAGTTACAAATGGTGTACCACAAGGATCTGTTCTGGGTCCTCTTCTATTTGTGATTTTTGTAAATGATTTGGATGAGGGAGTGAAAGGGTAGATTAGTAAGTTTGCGGACGATACGAAGGTGGGTCGCGTTGTGGACAGCGCGGTGGGCTGTTCTAGGTTACAAAGGGACATTGATGGGATGCAGAGCTGGGCTGAGAAGTGGCAGATGGAGTTTAACCCTGAAAAGTGTGAGGTGATTCATTTTGGAAAGAAAAACTTGAAAGCAGAATACAGGGTTAACGGAAAGATTCTTGGCAGTGTGCAGGAGCAGAGGGATCTTGGGGTTCATTTCCACAGTTCCCTGAAAGCTGCCACCCAGGTGGATAGAGTTGTTAAGAAGGCGTATGGTGTGTTAGCTTTCGTTAATAGAGGGATTGAGTTCAAGAGCTGTGAAGTTATGCTCCAGCTGTACAGAAGCCTGGTTCGGCCACATCTGGAGTATTGTGTCCAGTTCTGGTCGCCTCGTTACAGGACAGATATGGAAGCGTTGGAAAAGGTGCAGAGGAGATTTACCAGGATGTTGCCTGGAATGGCGGGAAGGTCTTACAAGGAAAGGTTGAGAGAGCTAGGGCTTTTCTCTTTACAACGACGAAGGATGAGAGGTGACTTGATAGAGGTGCACAAAATGATCAGAGGCATAGATAGAGTAGACAGCCAGAGACTTTTTCCTAGGGTGGAGGTAGCTATTACAAGGGGGCATAGTTTTAAAGTGAGTGGAGGTAGATATCGGGGCGTGGAATGCATTGCCAGAGTGGGTAGTGGAGTCGGCCTCATTAGGGGCATTTAAGCGGCTATTAGATAGGCATATGGATGATAGTATAAGGTAGGGGTGGAGGCTAGACAGACCCTAGGATTAGGGTAAAAGTTCGGCACAACATCGTAGGCCGAAGGGCCTGTACTGTGCTGTACCGTTCTATGTTCTGTGTTCTAGATATTTCCAAAGAAGAGGCTCAGCATTTTTAATGTACAACTTTCTCACATTCTCCTTTCCAGGTATTTCAGGTAGCCTATGTTATCATTAAGGCAGCAAACTCTCCTCGGCCTGGGAACTGGGTGTTGGAACGCTCCATTGATGGTGTTGAGTTTACACCATGGCAGTACTACGCCACAAGTGACACCGAGTGCCTGACCCGCTACAACATTGCACCTCGGATTGGACCACCAACCTACAAGAGGGATGATGAAGTGATCTGCACATCTTACTATTCCAGACTTGTCCCGCTGGAGCACGGAGAGGTAAATTCATCTTCAGGATGTATCTGACATTTTCTATTAAAAATCTCCCAATTCTACTGCATAGAATAATTTGTATGAGAAAGAAAATCAAGCTTCAGTAGGAGTATGTCATAACACAGTTTAGTAGTCTGCGAATTTGCTTATAACAAGGGTATATCATGAGTCCTGAAGGATGTAAATCTTTATTTAAATCTTCATTTTGCTCTTTAAAAATGGCAATTTTCTTACTTGCACGGTTCAGCTATAACGCACTGCTACTTCTTGGATTTCCCCCATACTTGGGGGGGCGATGGCCTAGTGTATTATCGCTGGACTGTTAATCCAGAAACCCAGGTAATGTTCTGGGCATCCAGGTTTGAATCCCGCCACGGCAGTTGGTAGAATTTGAATTCAATAAATATCTGGAATTAAGAATCTAATGATGATCATGAAACCAGTGTCGATTGTCTGGAAAAACTCATCTGGTTCACTAATGTCCTTTAGGGAAGGAAACTGCCATCCTTACCTGGTCTGGCCTACATGTGACTCCAGACCCACAGCAATGTGGTTGACTCTGAGTAATTAGGGATGGGCAATAAATGCTGCCTAGCCAGAGACGCCCACATCCCGTTAATCAATAAAGGAAAGAAAATCCTTGATTCCAAATGTAAATACAGAGATATAGATACTTCTGTGAAACCCTTTGAATTTTATCATCAAACAGACCAGAACAGTAATGGATTCAGAGATAGTAGGATATTATGTTGCTGTGATTTTACAGTTTTTGAAAAATGAACTGCTGTTGTTTGGTCTGTATGAAAATTAGCTGCGAATTATCAATAACAACATTAAAGGAAGTCAAGGGAAAACTCTAACCCAGTCTACCCAGTGGAAACTCGGAAGGGCAGGCAGTTAAAATTGCTGAGGTTGTTATCTGCCCAGGAGCCATCTGGAAATGGTTTTGAAATAACACTGAAAACAGGAGGGGTCCTCACTTTGTAACGTCCGTATATCAATTCCTGATGATTTTGCTGGAATCCGAATGCAATTTTAACTTGGCAGCCAGAATGGGAAGCATCAGTTTTGAGTTTCCAGCTCAGAAGAACAAGGCTGGAAGAAACTCAAACAGGGTAAGCTTTTTTTTATTTTTCAGCTTTCCTGATCATGTTAGGAGAAGTCTCTCGTGGGGCTCTTTTTGAGGAATGCTTTGGGCCCAAGCTCTCCCATAAATCGAAAAGCCCTTTCTCCCTCACTTTGCCAGTTTGGTTCGGCACGTGTGATCCCAGTGCCAATACCTGCCAGGTGTCAAGATGGCTGCCTGAGTGGCAAGTCAGTTAGCGGCATTTCAATAAGGTTGATGGGTTAAAATGCCTCAGATCTCTCTTGCCCCCTGCTAAGTGTGTTCGGTTGGAGGATTGTTGATCAGATAGGATGGGTTTGCAGAACATGACCAGCTTACCAAGCCACCATTCCCCCCCATAATATGGAGGTTGGGTGAGTATTGCAATTAACAGCATGCCCCTCTCTGCGAGGTGTAACTAAATAATGAGGTGTCAGTTGAGCTCGTTTATAAGATGCCCACACCATAATATCCTGCCAACAGGACTAGGTGAAGGGTTTTATTTTAAAAAAAGTTAACAAAATAACAGAAGGAAAGTGAGTTACTATCTTTGGGTGGGGTACATAATAGCATCACCCCTCTGCTGGGATCCCCTCATTTCCTAATCAGCTCCTATCCAAACATACCGTCCCAACAGCTTGCCTTCCCCTCCCTTAAGCTCTCATCACCTAATATCCCCAAATGCACTTGGTCACTGGCTGCCTTCCTTATTGACCTGCCTGCAGTACCGGCAATACCCACTACCAAGCTCTTGGAGCTACTGAGACTGCTAGTTCCTGCATTGAGGAGCAAATGTTCCATTGAGCCCTTGTTAGCACCAACCATAACATGTCATCGCTGCAGGGAAGGCTTTTCTCTTGCACCAGTTGGTTTCCAAATGAGCAAGAGGGTAACTAGAGAAAGGGTCGGCCCACTCAAGGACAAAGGAGGGAAGTTATGCGAGGAGTGAGAGAAAATGAGTGAGATTCTTAATGAGTACTTTGTGTCGGTATTCACCGAGGAGAGGGACATGATGGATGTTGAGGTTAGGGATAGATGTTTTATTACTCTAGGTCAAGTCGGCATAAGGAGGGGGGATGTGTTGGGTATTCTAAAAGGCATTAGGGTGGACAAGTCCCCAGGTCCGGATGGGATCTATCCCAGGTTACTGAGGGAAGCGAGAGAGGAAATAACTGGGGCCTTGACAGATATCTTTGCAGCATCCTTGAGCACACGGGTGAGATCCTGGAGGACTGGAGAATTGCTAATGTTGTCCCCTTGTTTAAGAAGGGTAGCAAGGATAATCCAGGTAGTTATAGACCGGTGAGCCTGATGTCAGTGGTGGGGAAGCTGCTAGAGAAGATACTGAGGGATAGGATCTATTTACATTTGGAAGAAAATGGGCTTATTAGTGATAGGCAGCATGGTTTTGTGCAGGGAAGGTCATGTCTTACCAACTTGATAGAATTCTTTGAGAAAGTGACAAAATTGATAGATGAGGGAAGGGCTGTGGATGTCATATACATGGACTTCAGTAAGGCGTTTGATAAGGTTCCCCATGGTAGGCTGATGGAGAAAGTGAAGTCGCATGGGGTCCAGTGTGTACTAGCTAGATGGTTAGAGAACTGGCTGGGCAACAGGAGACAGAGAGTTGTAGTGGAAGGGAATTTCTCAAAATGGAGAACTGTGACCAGTGGTGTTCCACAGGGATCCGTGTTGGGACCACTGTTGTTTGTGATATACATAAATGATCTGGAGGAAGGTATAGACAGTCTGATTAACAAGTTTGCAGATGACACTAAGAGTGGTGGAGTAGCAGATAGTGAAGGGGACTGTCTGAGAATGCAGCAGAATATAGATAGATTGGAGAGTTGGGCGGAGAAATGGCAGATGGAGTTCAATCCAGGCAAATGCGAGGTGATGCATTTTGGAAGATCCAATTCAAGAGCGAACTGTATGGTAAATAGCAAAGCCCTGGGGAAAATTGATGCACAGAGAGATCTGGGTGTTCAGGTCCATTGTACCCTGAAGGTGGCAACGCAGGTCAATAGAGTGGTCAAGAAGGCATACGGCATGCTTCATTCATCTGATGGGGTATTGAGTACAAGAGTTGGCAGGTCATGTTACAGTTGTATAGGACTTTGGTTCAACCACATTTGGAATACTGCGTATAGTTCTGGTTGCCACATTACCAAAAGGATGTGGATGCTTTGGAGAGGGTGCAGAGGAGGTTCACCAGGATGTTGCCTGGTGTGGAGGGCGCTAGCTATGAGTAGATTAGGATTATTTACATTAGAAAGACAGAGGTTGAGGGGGGACTTGATTGAGGTCTACAAAATCATGAGAGATATAGACAGGGTGGATAGCAAGAAGCTTTTTCCTAGATTGGGGGACTCAATTACTAGGGGTCACGATTTCAAGGTGAGAGGGGAAAAGTTGAAGGGAGATATCCGTGGAAAGTTCTTTACGCAGAGGGTGGTGGGTGCCTGGAACGTGTTGCCAGTGGAGGTGGTAGAGGCGGGCACGATAGCGTCATTTAAGATGTATCTAGACAGATACATGAATGGGCAGGGAGCAGAGGGATACAGATCCTTGGAAAATAGGTGACAGGTTTAGACAGAGGATCTGGATCGGTGCAGGTTTGGAGGGCCGAAGGGCCTGTTTCTGTGCTGTAATTTTCTTTGTTCTTTGACCTCTCTGATTTAGGAGTGGTGAGTAATCTCCACTTGCCTGTAAAATACACCCAAGTTCAGTTTTGATCTCTCACCATTGCCCACTCACCCAGAACGTACTTGGAGTTAAAACCTCATGCCCGTATTTCCATTTCTCTGTTGATTATGGTATAAAATGGCTAACTCAGCTGCATAACGCCAGGAATCTTAACAAAAGGGCTGTTCACGGTTGGAATCCTGAGGAGATAGTTTTTTGGCATTGTTACAATTCAGATCTTTAATTAAACTATGCATTGTCTGCATTCCCAGCTGATTGTTCCTTGTTTAACTGAGTCTATTCATGTTGCTTCTTACTTGCCTGTGAAAGGCAGATGCATAATGCAATGCTTTATAAAATTACCATGGGCCTGAATATAATGCCAGCCTCACTTTTATAACTACAAGCGATTATTCCCACCATGTAAATCAACCCTCCATTTTCCAACTGCTTCTGTGTGCAGTAAAAATTAAAGTTGAGCAAATCGACACCCAAATTAGTAGCTAAGAAATAGATAATCCGCATTCTGTTTAGAAGTGATAGACAGGCCGATTTCGATGACATAAATGAAGAGGTTTGTTTGCTCCATTTCTCTACTTTCAGTGAAAAAGTGGAAATTTAATTATAAAACGTGAAATGTTACCCTATACCAGCAAAACCTGGGAATCAGAGGAGAATCCAAACGCAGGAAAATGAGTCTAGTCAATTTAGGAAACTTGGTTGGCATGGACCAGTTGGGCCGAAGGGACTGTTTCCATGCTGTATGACTCTCATGACTTTTCTGCAAAGTTGTTGCAGGTGATTAGAAGCAAGAATAGGACCCCCATTTCAGCTGGACTTCAGATCCTAAAGCCTTATTATCAGGAATTAGAAAGAGCGGTAGACCATCCCGTGGATCAGTGCTGATTGTTTACTTCAGTTTCATTTATTTCTGTTTAATCGATATCCTTCATCTCAAAAAACATCTTTAAATCTATCACAAAAATTTCAATTAATTCACTGCCTCAACTTAGAGATTTCCACTGGGTGGAAAACATGCATCTTCAATTCATCGGCGTAGCTTCAGCTGGGGGGATGGGTTTGTTTGCCCACTTTTTCTGGATTTCTCCACTTGGAGAAAGACCTCCTGTATCTACACCATGTAAGAATATTTGAATCTGATATCAAATATGATTCATACATTAACAATTTGTTGCCAAATTCCCAGGCCCCG